CGCAACTGTCAGTGTGTCCAAAACAAGAAATAGCAAATAGCTAATAGCATCAAAGTCTTCTTTTTCTTTATGTTGGTTTTAAAATGCCTTTTCCCTTTTCTGTTTTCAACCCAGAATCAACGTTGACTGAATAGCTGTCCAGAGTTTCTGACATTTTGATCGGAAATGATCAAATGATGAGAAAATGTCCTGAAGGCTCATCTTCAGGCAGACAGTAATCACTGACCGAAAAGTTACACATGACTCTAATACCAAAAGTGATGATGTTTGCTTCTAACCACATGAAATAGACTTGGCAAACAAGTCTTCTCGTACTACTGTTTCAGGCTAGGTCTTAACTTATATATTACACAGTGTTTCTGCAAACATTGTCTGTCAATGATATTTTATCTTTGCTCATGTTTTGTGAAAAATATTTTTAGAAACAGCGCATACAATATCATTAACAATCACTATACTGTTCCAGAGATTAGAAATCATTCAATAACAGGACCTCGATTGCAACATTTTTAAAAAAGCGATCAACACAGTCTCAATCTTTATAAAGCTTCAAATTTTGCATATACACCTATGTTTAGCATTTGTAGTTACTTTTAATATTTCCCTTTGTATTTTGATATAAATGAAAGAAATATAAAGAGGACATTGATTTTCCTTCTTTTTTCTCTTCATCCTTTAAGAGTAAAGTGACAAAATGGTTGATATTACAGATGGAAACTTCTCTTTAAGGAGAGATTTTGCATGAAATATTAATTAAACCAAAAAAAGTATCTGTGTTTGCAAGAAGATTTAAAAGAATAATGACATTTTTGTGACCAAGACTGTTTTTATGTCAAAAGATCTGACCTCATTACTTCAAAATAATGGGTTGTACAAGTGTTTTGAACCTCTTAAGAAAACAACCCCTTCATTCTTTACTGTTTCCTTGGGAATTAAATTTTGCATCATCACCTAAAAAAACTGCAAGTACTGGATACTCTTTGAAAATGTCTCAAGTTAATAAATCCAAAGTTAAATAAATCTGCCTGGTCCTCGGCATCATGTTTTCAACTATCATCACAGCTTCATTCTAATTGAAAGAACTATTCCTCTGCATATATTGTGGTTACCACCTCTGCTTGTGATGGACTGAAACTGGAATTACCAGAATTAAACACCTAACTTTCCACAAATTGAGCTAAAGAAGAATCTATGGGTAAAGCATAGATGAATATAAATGATAAATACTGAGGGATTATACTCTTTTCAAGAAAATAGGAAATATGGCTATCTCAGGATCAAAACACTTCACTTCTCAGACAAGCCTCCTAGATATTAATGCCACCATGTTTTTAGACATCTGATGTGAAATCAGGGCTTTTAGGGACCACAGGATGAGTTTCTACCACTTCAGGTAAAAAATAAAGCTCCCAGAGAGCATCTGTACTGTCATATTTAGGTGTATACCAACACCCTAGCTATAGAAGAAGATAGGTGTGGTTAGAAACCTGTCACTGAACTGTGTCCATTAAAAATGAGGTACTAAGCACCCTAGCCATTTCAGTGGGATCCCTCTAGAGTTGATGCAAAGAGGAAGCTACTTTAAAGGGTGATTTATTTCAACACACTTGTCCTGCACAGGATGCACAAGAATGCTTTTCTTTCTCCAGTGTCTACAGAAGAAATCTAGAAATCTAGCTTAGACTGAACTCCTTGGACAGTTTCATTACGTGAAGGCTCAACCACTGTGTGTTGGTTAAGTGCCATTTATATCTTATAAAGCATCATCTTTTTACACCTAATAGAAAATATTTACAAGTCCTTCTATGGGGATATCTCTCACAATAAAAAGGTTATTTTACTACAGACCTTTTGGGGATCACTCAGCAGCTGCCCTTGAATTGATACTGTCTATAGTTCACAAATCCCATCCCTAATTTTATTAATTGTTCACTGAGTTCAGTTTGGCCAAACCAAAAACAGTCAAGGTGCATGGGAGTATCTAACACAGGGGAGGTCCCTTTCAATTAGACAATCAGAAGAAATTATCACTCCATGTTCCTTCTAAAAATGCTCCTAGACGGTGTAATTTCCAAGGAAGGATTACTGGCTCACAGCATTTATTCAGAGCCATGTTCAAACATTAAACTCACACACATTCAGTCAGCTAGGCTTAAATTTCATCTGCTAGAGACATGAAATAAAGCAGGAGGGACTGCTTATTATGTACTCCTTGTGATGTCCAGGCTCCCTGTTTTCCAGCTGGCAAACGATGAGGATTACATACCAAGCACACTAACACAGGAAAGCAAATGAAAATGAAGTAATCAATAGAGACAGCACAGACATATGAATGGCTATTTAGGCTATTTCCTAATGCTCCAACCACATCCCTCCGAGATATATTTTCTCTTTATTATTCATCTGAACGTCAGTAAATTAAAAAATGCATTTCCTGCCCACTACCAAAGACCCTAAAGCAAAACGCACACAGCCAAATCCATAAGCAGAAAAAAACCTGCAAGACTCCATGTTATCATCACAGGCTTTCAATGCTGCACATCATTTCAGCAGTGTAGCTTCAGATGAATCAATAGTGCAACGCTGCTTTAATTATCACTGGCTTCAGTATCCCTCGGGGCACCTCTTTTGCCCAATGTGACAGGATCAATAAGCTTTCCACAAATTAAAATAACTGAAAACTCCAACAAATGGTCTTGTGGGGGTAAAAATGTAGCTAAAGTATTGCAGGAGTTACAAACTATATTACACATAATTGCAAAGTAACATTATTTCACACTTCCAAGCATCTTATAAGAGCAGTCAGTAGGGAGAGCTGCTCTAATGGACATGCCAACTTACTCTGAAGAACTCTTTGGTTGACCCTGAGTCCAGTGTCCCATAAGCAATTTCGGTTTGTTTGGCAAGGTCTTCTGCACTTTCTATGGGCGAGACCATTCGCTCAACAGTCAAGAAAGCAGCGAGGTTAGCAGTGTAGGATGAAATAATGATGAGCGTGAAGAACCACCAGACACCTCCAACAATGCGACCTGAGAGGGATCTAAACATGAATAAGATAATGCACATTTTCCTGTCTCTTAAGCCACCAAGACAGAGAGAGAAAGAGAGAAGGCACCACTATTGCTGAAGATGTATCATTAAGTAACAGTCATTGGGAGCGAGTTCATTTGCATTTTAAATACTAATAAATGTTTTTCTCTTGAATCTTAATGCCTACAGTAGAGACTCCACTGTATTAATACACATCACACACATACAGAAGTTTGAATTCTCTTGAACAGTAATCCCAGTTTTTTATTATTTCAGGAAATGCCTAACATAGCAAAAATTTTGTCAAAAATACTGGATTGGTAATCTGTTTTTGGAAACAAAAGTAAAGCATGGTAGCTGCAAATCAGTAGCTTTTTCTGTTTCCTCTTAAAAAAAAACCCAAAACACAAAAGGCTTTGCACATGGATACATGGATTGTATTTGCTCTAGGATTGAAATGCTCCTGTCATCCAAACTCATCAAGCATTCTACTGCAATCATTTCAACTTTCACATTTTTCTTGTTAAAGGAGCAAGCATTTTGCATTTTAATACCTGTAATTTGGTGAGAAGGCTGTTGAGGAGTAATGAACATCCAGTCTTAATCAGTATCAGTTTTACTGCTAATTTCAATAATAGCAGAGTTAGGCCAATGCTGAACGCTCACAAAATCTCACTGTAAGCGGCTACAATGAAGCATTCAAGTTTGAAAGATTGGGTCATAATGTTTAATTAAGAAGTTGTAGTTACTGCACACTAAAGTTCCAGAACAACTTAAAGGGCTGAGAAATTCAGGACTGGGATCACGTATTACATCTGAGGCACCCACTCCGTAAGGCATGGCTCAGCGATACAGCATGGCTTCTCAGAAACAGATGGTCACATACTCTTGCTGTCATAGATAGCAACTGTAGAACTTCATAGGGAACAGAAATGGGACATTCATTCATGCAAGGCAAATACTCAGCACAACAGTGTGCTTTTCGTAATTGTAATACAATGAAACTAATTTAGCAACAACACAGTTCTTCTGAATTCAACCCAGTGGAATTGTCCTGTGTGTACCTGCTGTTTCTAAGAGCTGTTTGTGGTTATGGATATTGACACATGTAAAATAATAGTAATGACTGAAATTCAAAGCAGATTCTCTGTTGCCCTTATCGTAGCTATCAAAAAAGGAAAAAATCAAAAGGCTTCCTAAAGAATGAACTTCAGAACACTGCCAGGAAAATAAATGCAGGAAGATTTTATGCTTCAGTGTTGAAGATAAAATGCAAATGTAAAAAGATTTGACACAAACCTTGGGGAAATATCACATCCTTGTTGCATAAAGGCACCCAGGGAAAACCAGAGGCTGTTGAATATGCCAAACTCATTGGGAGGCTGGTCACTGGGTCCTTCTTTCCCGTCCTCTGGTTCTTCTGTGTGCCACTCATAAGGGCTAAACCTGCTAACTAGGAACAGGACCACACTGACACCAATGTAGGCAAAGACTATGCACATCCAGATCTCATATGCCAAAGGGTCCAAGAAGGAAAACACTCCTGGTTTAGATTTCTGGGGCTTTTTGATCATAATGGATATCCCCAAACTCATAAAAGGCTTAGAAAAATCAATGACCTCTTCTCGTACCAAAGTGATGGTCAGAGGCGCAACAGCAATCTCTGCTTTCTATAAAGAAAAAAGAAAATAGATGTATAGATTAATTGGAGTTGGCTTATACACTCAGCTAAGCAGCTAATTCCAAAAGTAAGTCATTAACATCAGGACACTCTGGCTTAATTGTTCTTTATAACATCGTTTTGTTTCTTTCTATCACAAACTATATTTACTCAATATGTTTTTAGTAAAACATACATATTGCAGGTTTTTATTTTGCAGAATTACAGAAATATGGAATTCTCCAGCTAAGGAGAAGACTCAAATCTAATAGAGGTGGGTAGCAGTGTAGATAGATCACTTTAGGTATTAATTTAGATTTAGAGTTAAGGAATTCAAGGAAGACTGAAAAATGAGAGTGACTATTGTCACTGAATGTATAGAGATTTTTTTACAAGACCCCATAAACAGTAATTTATTATAATATTTTCATAAGACACAATCATTCTTTGAGAGGAACCAGCTCATAGACTCAAGGAAGTGCCAAATAGCATGAATCAGCAAAGGTAATTAACTATTGCCATGATGCGACAAAACTGCACACAGTTGTCTTGGGGGGAAAGATAGTTCAACAGGAATGAATCGGATTTTAAACAGTGCAAAAAAGGCAAGTACATAGAAAACAGCTGTGCAAAATCATGCAGTGTAAGGATAAAAAGTGTGCTGAATCCATTAGAGACAGGAATAATTTTTCATATCTTTCTCTAACATGGTTTTATAATGAAGATGCCATTCTTGAATGAATTGTTATTGATGATGATGGTGATTATGGCTGCCATGATGTCTGCATGAATTCTAAGGTATTGTAGAGCTGTGCTAATGGGTCATTTCTGTCATTAGGGACTCAACATTACATTAAGTTTTGCTTCTTGCTTTGCCTTGTACACTAAAGCTGTCATTACAGCAATACTTAAGATGGGAATTGTAAGAGGAACTGGGACAAAAGATGCACCGGTGGGAGGGGAATAGATGCATAAGCTGCTGAAACCTTTCTCCTGTTCGTCACCATGGTGCTGTATCTAGGTGGATTCAGAGAGCAGAGCCCATGCTCTGTGACCAGTGTGGACTTCTCTACAGCTTATGGGCTAAGGAGAGTAACTGAGCATATTTTGAGAACACTTTGTTTTGGTTCCAAATAAGGTAGACTCACAATCTGCCTTCTGCAGTGGCATTACTCCGCTTCAGGCCTCAATATATCTGCCTGTATCTACCCCAGCCCAGGCCCAGTCATCTTCCCAGGCACAATTAAGAATTATTAATAAATCTCCATAATAGAACTGTTGTAGTTTTCTAAACACTTAGTTGGCCCAAATTCATCTCATGGGGTAGCATCATCAGATATAGTACACAGCCCATAGTTTAGCAAAGCGTTTAAGTGTCTTTGCTTTTTAGGATGTTCTTAAGGACGTTCATACTCAGTAAAGTATATACAAGGATATATTTAAATCCCATCAATTGCGATGAGATTAAAACATGCTGAAAATTAAGGATGTCTATAAATAGTTTAATCCAAGTGTTACCTAAATAGCTTGTGTGATAAAGAAATGTAGGCTTTTTTGTTGTCTCACAACTTTGAAACAGGCAAATTAATTTCAAATATTTTTTTGTTATTTTATACTCTAAGTTATACTGAGCTATATATATCTTACGGTATTTAATTTAAAACTAATTTCATGTAGTTAAAGTTTAAACCTATTTTTGAAGCTGTATAATTTTGAATAATTAAAAAAACCTGACTCATTCCAGAGCAATGGCCCAAAAATGCAAATTTGTATTAAAATTGCCATGTATCTGTCATTCTGAAATAGTTCTGATGCAAACACTTACCATAATTTTATGTAAAGATATTACAGCTTAAGCAACACAATTAAAATAATTTTGCAAGCATATCTGACATTATCTCTGGTGCTAAAGTCTTGGGTAAACACTATGATAATACTGCTAATTCTCTGAATTTTAATGTAAATTTTGTAATATAAGGTATTTTTAAAAATTTGGCTTCTTGAAGTTTTGTGATTATATAAGTCCAAATAGTTACTTTATGAAGATAGGTATTATATGAAGAAAAATAACATATCTCAAACATATTTCTAAATATAATAAAAATTGTAAAGTAAATTTGGTTTCTGTAGCCTAAGGATTGTAGGATGGGTTGGGCTACTGGAATTATTGCGTATTTTTCTATTTCATCTCACCCATAAATTCCTTTTTTCTAGAAGAATGGTTTCCTTCCTTAGAGGCAATGTCTTTTATGTTTCTAAATTTCAGCTACTGTGAATGCCTAATGTGGAGTCCTTGAAATGAATTAACTGAAAGACTCAGGAAAACTGTGATCTATTACTGCAGATCTTCTCTGTATTTGTCACATAGTGGTATCTTCATTAACACAGCCTAAATGATAGACCTGGTTATTGGTCTTCAAAAGTGTTGGCTAACACTTCATTTTTTGTGTCTGCAGATTGCTACTGGGATTAAAATAAGGATCCTTGAGGGTTGTTAGTTTTTACAATGCGAGGTGGAAAAGTGGCAGCACTGTTTCAATGTGAATTGTGAAGGTTTTAAAGACCTAATTAGCACACTGCATATTATATGTGAAACACTGGGTAAGATTAATCTTACCAAATTTAAATGCCAAAGAGTACATGCAGAACTCGAACTACACAAGAACCAACCAGCTGCCGACATTACTTTAAGGATTTAAAGAGGAGAAATAGGAACTCATCCCATTTCATTACAATGATGATTTAATGTTAGATAATGTAAATAAACCCATTTCATGCCAATGAATGTAAAGGGACAGTACATACCTAGATCACAATTAATGCCAAATAATTGGAAAAAGTGCAGCCTCCTCAATCTGATCAGATAATTTATTATTTTTGTAAGACTACTGTGAGCCATATTAAGGCCCACATAAACCCTTTGTTGTTGAAAGCTAAATAATGATAATAGCTGTGCATAATAATCATCAGCGTTTGTGCTTTGCCCAGTTAATGTACACCATACAATTATGGATTTAAATTATTAACAATATAACAATGGTGCAAACAATTAATGACTTTGTTGCCAGTGAAATCTGTTTTGACAGACTAATGATACTCCACACTTGAATCAACTGCATCTGTAACAGCGCTTCAATCAAGGCTGCACCATTACCAAGTACAGATGGATTCTGGATCCTTCTGATACTATACAATAGGACAAGATTAAGTCTGACGGTAAGAGACTTCTACTTTTCCAGAATATATTATTATAACCTTATGAATAAAATCTATGCTTGGTACAAGTTGTATGAAGATGGTAAAGATATCTGAGAAAAAAGATGCAGGAAGTGATTTCAACTTCAGAAGCTCAAGTCTTCTGAGATTTTAAACAGCAGTGAGTTGCGACCTTTTCTGTTAAACAGTGAAAGAATAGTATTCTGTGTCAGGAGAATGAATATTTAATTGGGACTGTCAGTGCATTTGGAAACACCTGTTACATGTGCTTAGTGTTATTTCATCCCCAGCCAGCATTTCTCCTGTGAGCTAGACATCAAGGCCTACAGACTCCCTCAGGGACTACTGCAGGCATTTGGATACATCAGGGACAAATGACCAAGTTTTCCTGGTACTGCTTAATAGAGTGCTAAAAACAAAACAGAAAAATAAACAACCCATCACTACGACCTTCTGTACAGTCATAACGAAACTGTACACCACAGCACTTCATACACCCCTGGGACAATTTGGAAAAATCAACTACAGAGTTTAGGTAACAAGGAAGCTGCTCTGTGTAGCATATGAAAAGTCTATGTTCCAGAATGACCAATGGTGCATATGGGTCTCGAGGGGACGTGGGATAAAATTGGCACATGTGTCCACTCTCAGTAACACAGATAGGGCTGAGTGGCATTGGTGGCACTGAGGCACGTGATGAAGTACAGTGTAAAGAGCAGGAGAGGAGGGGAGTCTTTTGTGTGGCACAGAAAAGGTCCAGTCTTACCGGCCAGCACAAAAATGTCTGTTAATCCTTTAATGTGGTTGGGAATTAGAAGCTGTAAAATGTTTCCCAAACAGATCATCTTGTTAACTTGCTAATTCAGTTGTAAGTTCTGTCCCAACCCTGGCTGCATATAAAAAGCCTTACTTGAAGCATAGCCAATTACTTAGAGTACTTGTGTTTATGATTTGGGGATCTAGCAGAGAAGATGAACATCCTCTTATGGCAGAGCTTTGCAGGAAAGTCTCTGGCTGACTAATTTTTCTGCTTTCTCTTTGTGGAATAGGCCAGGGAAGCTGATGCTCTGTAAATCATCTGGCAAGGACTCAAGGAAGTTGCAGGGAGGATGCTCTTCATGGATTCCCTACGGAAATCTTAGGCAGCAAACTTTTATAAGTTAACAGAAAGAACAATTTCCTTTAAAGCTACACCTGTAAAAGTTCATTAAACACTCTTGGAATAGCTCTTGACCTTAAGGCCAAGCTGGCACAGGAGACAGTCTGTGTGGTTACCATGAAAGTCATTTAACCTGAAACCAGCACAGCTGCATTCAAGCTGCTTAGGGAATGGTCTCTCCCCCATCCTAGTGTCCAGCTGTGCTCAGAAATTGTTTTGGACAGTAATTATGGGCCAAAAATATACCAGGGACTATTGTTGCAATTTAGCAGCTTAGTCAGGCAAGTTCCAGTGCCCAGGGACAGTCCCTGGTGCCACTGATATACTGGGATAGATACAACCTCAAGGAGTCTTTGGACAGTAGAGCAAATACACTGGGCAGCAGCAGACTTCTGTTACTTCTTTCAATACAAAAACAGCTACAAGAGCTTTGCTGCAGTTCATTCCCAGAGCTCAGTCCCAGAATCACAATCAGATTGTGGCTTTGCTAAACAGATAGCTGTGCGGGAGCTTTTGAACTTGGCCATCAAACCTTTAAAGAGCCTTCACCTTTTTCTTTTCCATTACAAAAAATGAAGCGTTGACCATGTATTCTGCAATGTCCTCTTCATGCAGGTGATTTGCAACAGGTTCTTTATGCCTGTGAGTGTTGTTGCTTTCAGCTATGTCAACAGCCACAGGTCACATTCCAGTACTGGCAAGGACCTCTGGGTGAGTTTCCTAACAGCACTTTGTGTTTCTGTCTAGTACTAAGGTAGTTTGGGTTTGATATGGTAAATTTTTCAAGATAAAAGGAAAAAAAACAAACAAAACAAACAGAAAACTGAACTGTAATTTCAAGTGTCCTCTATAATTTTCAACTAGATGATAGACCACTGGAATTATGCATCTGGGCAAGGGAATTTTCTCATAATTTGTAAAACTCCTCAGATGGTTTAAAAAACCTATTGGTATAAAACAGTGCATAGCCATTGACTTCCATGTGCTTGCTATTACAGTTAAAAGCCAGACAAGGAGTTGCCTCCATTTTAATAAAATAAGTCTGAAAACACCTTGGCTTTTAATATCCTGAGAGTTGAGCTGCTTCCAAGCCACTAAAGTGGATATACGTCCTTGGTGATCATTCAGCTTTTCCTCTCTTTAAAGACACAAGTGATGTTGGTTCCTCCAAGAACTTCCAAGAGTTTTGTGAGGCTGGTATAACATTCCCATTCCGATGGGGAGGGGAAACTGACAAAACTCTGGGACACCATTCCCCACACTCCTACAGCATACAGTCTATTTCATGTTGAGGAGTCTCCTGAACCAATGCTACTGCAGAAGACTTTGACAAAATTTATCAGCTATACTTAGCTGACAGAAGCCAACAGAAATGGAGCTGCTAGAAAAGCCACTAGGCTTTTGCCACAGGTGGCCCTAACTGTCATTGGAAAACTGCAACTGCGGATGGATGAACTTGTGTGCAGTACTTTTTTATAGGGAGGTTGAGGTATGTTATGAGTTCATTGGCAGAAATGTTCTCGCCTGAATAGTTTTAGGGGTTTTTTTTAATTACATCATTGACATTAATTTTTTTTCTAAGAATTCTGATCTGTTCTTAGTGCAGAGACTAACAACTGCAGTCATCAGCAAGCACAGCTCTGAGTTTTGCTATTTGGTAATGACAGATACTGCAAATATTTCTTTGGCTTTGTTGGCACTATTTTAATTAAATATTACAACATTATGTGTAATGTTCTCCAGATCACTGTATAACATAATGCTCTTAGTTGCTGAACTTACCAGGTTTTTTCTTAAATTTTATTATTGATGTACATCTTAAAAGTCTGTCTCAAATCTGAATTGCCTAGTTGTGGGCTTATCTGTAGTTATTTGTTATGCATGTTTAATATATGATGGTGGATCCTCCATTTCTCAAACTAGACCAAGAGTCCTATCTTCTTTAAAAGATTCACCGTTCCATGAAAATGAATGAGTGAAATTCTTCCCAACTAAGTTTTACAATGTATTAGGAATAGTTGGTCTCTAACATTAGTTCTAACATTAATGAATTTTTAAGGGATGTGCATACTATGGATGTTCTAATATTACAAGGTACTAGTTGAATAAGTAGTAGAATTTGCATGGAGCTATTTGATTTTCTCTTGAAAATAAATGAAAGCACAGAAATCTGAAACAGAATTCTGGTTCTTTTCTGTGACCCCAAGCTTAAACAAAATGCACATATACTTCCTATTTAATGACTAATACTATGATAAATTAAATCCTGCTTCAAAAATTGGTATGCTTACCCCATAAACAAGTTCTCCCACCATCCCATTCCAGATTTTTGTCTCTGGATCCCTTGCTCCATATTTTCCATCAGGAACAATGGCAATTTTGTACTTGATACCAATATGTTTTGCAATTTCTGACGCCAGATCTACACAGTATCCTTCAAACTTGTCATTCCCTTCAAACGTATCATGGTTTTTCTTGAACATAACATATGGGGCTTCCTATAATGAAAGAAGTAGAACTGTAAAGGAGAAGTATACCGAATATACTCTGAAAAGTAACATGTCATCTACTGATGAACAACACATATTTCATCAAAAGTTCATGGATAGTATTAGCACATTTAAATTAAAATGTATGAACAGAAATCCTTCTGGAAAGGTTTACTATTTCACTGTAATTAGACTTATATGTTTCACAACATTTACCAAACTTACAAATTATGAACACAAAAACTACCCAAGAACGCAAGTAAATTTTAGTTTGGTTTAAATGGGAGACCTTAGTGCAGTATATGCTAAATTTAAAGTGTGAATAGAGGTTGAACTTATACAATACAAATGACTATGGGATAATGCAAGGTATAATTTATGCTTTTGACTTCAATAGGTAAGCATATCCTCTAACATTGGATGGTTACCGTCTATGTAATTTCAGATGCACAGCCAGAATGATTTGCTTCTTTGGGTTTAGAATGGATACTTACTAAGAGTCTACATACATTTCAGTGAGAACATAGCAACATGTTCCTGAAGAAACATATCTTACCCTTTGAATAAACAATGCAGAGCCTGCAAGGTCTTTTAGGATGAATCTAAGCAATATGCATGGACAAGAATGATATTGAGCTGACACTGACTTTACATGCTGCATGATAAAAAAGTACCAAAATATTTTGGATGGTAAGTGCCATTGAAAACAAGTAAAATCTGTCTCGAAAAGTGGATCTTACATTACCTGTGTAAACCATACTGTCACAATAGTGAACATTACGTGATTGGGAAATCAAGGTCACACTGGGAAAACAAAGTCACATTTTTCTTTTTTGCTCTGTGTGAATTCAGACTTTAGCAATCTTTATGTAAAAGTATAATTTCTGGTGGTATTTTAAATTACTTCACATAATTCATATTCATAGACAGATCCAGATAAAATACTTGTCACTAATGTCACCCTTTGTTTGAATTTACATCACAAAATACTGGCAATTTAAGTTTTCTCTGTGCTGGCCCTGGTGAATGTTGCTTTTTTGACACTAACCTTGGTAGTATCCTGCCCTATTCACATCTCTTCTACATACATAATCAGTACAAAAATAAAAACAAAGGTAAATGTGTAGTCTGAGAATGTCTGCTTCATTGAAACTACATCTATATCATCTGTAAGCAACAGCAATATTGTAACCTCTATTAGGTGTTTAACAATGGAGGATATGTGGCATTACACGAGCAATAGGGGGGCTGAATAAAGCAATTCCAAAATTTTTCAGTGTGTCAGGCAAATTTTTCCTTTCCGACACCAGTATGTAGCTCCTATTAGCAGGGTGTGGATCCACCCAAGAGAAGAACTTGATAGGCCAGCCTGAACAGTACCTTTAGTTTACTATTACAAGGTGTAAAGTAGAGAAATAGAAAAGAGGGACTATATGTGGGAGGCACTATTCCCTTTAACTTATGTAAGTTTACTCCTTGCGGAAACTCTGCCCAGGACCCCCCTCTGTATAAGGAGGGCACAATGGAACTTTGTGTAATGTGAGTGAAGAAAATTGCATAGTTCATTTATTTCAGTGTGGGAGAATGGTCCCAAACTAAATTCAACAGAGCTTGGGGATGGGGAAGTGCTGGTGTTTCCTTAAAGACAGGGTCAGGTTCCTAAGTATTGCAGGAATGTTTCACTCTTAGGTGTATTCCCAGAACACCTCTCCTCCCATTGTCTCCTTCTTATGTTATTCTCTGCTGTGGACATGCCTGTTTGGGCCATGTTTCCTTAGCAGTAATTCAGTGTTGGAGGCCACTGATACCTTATGACCATTACCTCAGCTAAGGAACCACACAACATAGAAAAGTGCCTACATGATGTCTTCCAAAGTCAAAATCTGTCTGACTTTTAGAGGTTCCTTGACCTCTATATAAATATAAACACCCAGAGAAATTTGAGGGTGACAATAGCATATTGTTGCATTTCTTCAGCACATAGTTATGACCACTGCACAGCTAAGGATCACCAAGGACTTCTAAAACTGAGGCAATCACAAAACAAGGTGTTATCATCCTGATGCGTGTGGCCTGGGCACCGAGACCGCCACTGATTTACGGCATTAACTACACACTCTAATCACTGCAGTGATGCAGTGCAATGCCTTTGCCTGTATAGAGTTTGGATCTTCAAAGGAAAACTGATGACTATTACCAGCATCCTGCACCATTTCTTGTATTCCTGTTCCCACTTAAATCAGCTTAATCTCAACAACCTGTCTTCCAGAGAGAGGGAGGGAGAAGGGGTCCTGCCCTCTCTTTGCAGTAGATCTTGATTTTGAGAAGTATTTTGGGCATATGAATCATATGTTCCTCCCTCATGTAGACTTTTTGTTCCCATGACAGGAAAAGCCAAAATCTGGGTCTTTCTACATATGTTATTGCACGAAAATGGTTAAAAGCAAACAGAGGTGAAAAAATACTATGTCTCCTGACTGTGATTTAGCCAACTTCTAGCTAGAAACAGAACCAAGTCTTGTCCAGTATCCTGCATTTGTGGACTCTGCTCACAAGCTTCACCTACATTTGCTTGGTGCACCTCGAAAGCAATTTTGTTTCCCAAAGAGCAGAGTTAGTGACTGCTAGCTCTTCTGATTCAGCCTTTCTTATAAATACCAAGCCAAAGGCATACAATTAAAGTCACACCAGGAGAGGGACACAAAGCAGACAGGCACAAGGAGGCCAGGTCAGCTCGATCCTTCTGCCAAAACACCAGACACTATGCTTCTGCCTGCACCTCATCGCTGACAGGGCTGCTATAAAAAAAAAAGCACTTCAACTGTCTCTGCACCGCAAAGCAGTGACAGATGTCTTATTTTTCTTGTTGAAGGCTAAATGAACTTCAGCCCCCCCGCCCTGGCCATGAGTTCTGTGAGGGAACACTGAGAAGGGAAGCAGTGAGGTCCAATACCATGCCTGGTAGGTGCAAGCAGCAGCAATCCCATCCAGGGAAGGGAAGGGACTCCTGAGTGAGGACTCAGAAGACCTGGGTTCTGGCAGGGATCTGTTGGGTGACTTGGAGGAACTGCATTTGTTCTCTCCCCATCCACTTCTCTTTCTACACTCTGATCTTACTGATTTAAAGCAAAATACAGCAAGGAACATCTCTTATAATGCAATTCTCTTGTAGAATAGGTAGTGCCTCTTGCTGTGACTACTTTAAAAGAAGCAGCAATTGAGTGAGATCTGCCTCTGTGAAACAATACAATTAAAAATAATGGGAACACCTACTACCTTTTGCTTACTACGTTGTCCTCCCCCGCCCCCCCCTCCATTTTACACACAAGAAATAACAGTTTCTTTAATTGTTGTGCCTATTTTACCTGCCAAATAACGAGAGATGTTTTTTCAAGGTAGAATTGAATGGGGGGATATGGGTGGGACCAAATGTGGCTTTCCAATTAAGACTGTTTGCAAAAAAAAAATCAAATAGTAGCACTAGTTTTAAATTCTGTCCATTTCAGACTTTGGGGGGTGTTTCAAACTCCTGAGGTGTGCAGACATTATTATAATAACATCAGGGCACTGAAAGGCAAGTTTTACTGGTTTGCTAACAAGCAACTTAGATGAACTTGCAAGGTCACACTGCAAAGTCATGAAATATCTGAATTGATCAATAGCATGTACTCAGCCATATCTTGATGCTCTTTTCTACCTGTGCACTGAAAAAGATTATTTTTTCTGTATAATCTATAACAACAGTATTTTCTAAATTAATAGTGTAATGATGCTAGTCTAAAGATATAAGAGATTAAAGACATCTATGGAGAGGTAATATCTTCTATTAGATCAGCTGAAAACAGCAGGCATACTTTTTCACCTTTTGCAGTTATAGCATCTTGTCTGATAAAAACATTACTTCTCCCCACCATCTTTGTATTTACTACATTTTTGAACTATAAACTCTTAACCTACTGATGTAAAACATAGGTTTGACTTACTGCTGAATGAGGTTTAACACCGCAATATTTGCAAGCTGCTTAATAGTATTCTATTGGGTAGTGAATCAAGGAAAAGTCCACATTGAAATGATCAATGACTAGCACGGAACAGATATTTGAAATGGTGCAAGCTTTACTTACATAATTCACAATTTTATAACAATACTTAACATTTGTAAATACAAGTTGATGTCTGCAACAATTACTTTTATAGATGTAAACAAATCATTTCAACACATTGCCACAAATTCATGTGTACAGTAAAATGCTCACAACTGATGAGTCATACTATAAGGGAAGCTGAGAAAGTAACTAACCCAAACACCAAACAGGTCTATGTTTGGCTTTCCTATTCTAAAGTTAATTTCAAAATCTTTAAACATTGTAAAAATAATTTGTAAAAGTGACAAATATTTGTGCAAGGAAATGTCTCATTTTTAGAACAGGCGTGGCACACATTATCACACTTTATTCTGAAAGAAACTTCTGTGGGTGTCAGTGGAATGTTTTTTGGGTTTTGTGGTTTTGTTTTTTCTTTCTGAATAAAGTGTCCAGGATTCGGTTTGAAGTCTTTATTATTGTCATGCAAGAAACTTTTAATTTTTTCTCCAGTCTACTAAATAATTTAATTAATAAAATCTCTAATGAAAAATATTTTTCTATTGTGAGAAAGAAGGTTATAGTTAGAATTTTTGAGGTAAGACTCCATCAAGAGTATATCAGTCAAACAATGAGAGTGCTTCTCAGTCACCTAATGAAGGTTATCTACCATCTGAGATGCCCTAAGGTAACCTGCTTGACTGCCCAGTGGTGTTCCACAGGTCCTTTGTGCTGCCCCTTTATGGATAGGTCTGACATCCTCAGTGTTCAGCATCCACTTACGGGCCATCAAATCAATTTCTAAATCTTTGTGGACTTTGATGAAAACTTACATACTTGGGGCACAACTTATCACACATGCCTGAAACAACATACGCTAGCTTGAGACATCCAGATGGAGTGGTCATATATGGTGTGAGACAGGCAAGTGTCATCCTTCCAGTGTAAGAAATGGGGGTAGACAGTATATCCTAGAGCATCTTAAATTGTCACTGAGTGCTCATAAATGGGCAACAGAATCAATACCCTTTGTAAAGTCATCTACATTTAGGTGACTCCGTCATGAACTGGATCATGCCCTTGAAGCTTAATCTGACAACACCAAGACTATCTCATTAAAATATTGAGCTGGAAGCCAGATGCAGCACATGTACGTTGAGCTTTGGTTCTAAAGGATTTTTGTGATTTTTAAGTTTTGCAGCCTCAGAGTAGGTACAGAGTTGGCTGTATGATGAAATGGATTAGAGAGTCTGGGGTAGTCTTCCCAGCCTACTCTCCTGTATTCTACCTCAACAACTTGTCACCGTATTTCTCAACTCGCTAAATTAGAGATGATCATTCTTCCTAACTGGGTAAGTCACTCACTTGACCTTAGTGTTTGAGGAGGGCTGCACGTGGTGTCCCTTCTCCAGTCATACAATAAGCCTACTGTGCGCTTGGAGGTCCCAAGCCCTCCCTGGAGGGAATGCTTCTGCACACAGGTAGAAAATCTGCCCTTTCCAGAGGGCCAGTTGTGCAAGAGGCTGTGCATCATGAGTTGCAGGGGACAGGTCTCTCCCAGGAACTATAAAAAGCAGGGCTGCGTGGCAGCTGGTAAAGGGCATCAGCTGCCTCTGCTGCCACCTCTCTCTAGGCTGCTCCTTCACCACATGACTAATCAGAGATAGGTTGAGTGCTTATGCACTAAACCAAATCTGTAAAATAAATTCTACATGCTCTCACTACGTTACAAATGAACATAACATTTTGCCAAGTAGCAAACACTGTACTAATTGCTTTGAGTGCAGAGCTAATTCGTCATAATGCACCTTCTGTGCAATAGCCATACAGCTGCATTACAGCAAAGTAAGCATAGACACGTAAAAACTGAAGAAACAGCGGGCAAATCGACTTGCGCTATTTGGCTTCAGGCAAAAATTAAAGCAAGCCATGCTGAAAACTTGTAAATTTTTCTTATGCTGCCACGACACCTGTCTTTGAAGACTGAAAAGCCTGACAGCTCTGGTTGCAGAAGCTTTTCAGTTTAATGTTGGAAAATATGCATGCAACCAAAATTATCTGTGTCACCAACAATGGTTCAACTTCCCTTCAATGTGAAGAGGGCAATGAAGAGGTGAGAAAGTCTCTGTCTGGCATTTGCAACATGACTATAATACAGAGAAGAGTAAAATAACAGGAATCTGAAAGTTATTCTAGTTGATATATATTTTTTCTTTGTGTGTGTCATCATATGCTTGCCGATGCTAAATACATTGCCCTGGCAGGGCAATATTAAGAATCATGGTTCTAATCTACCTTCAGCATCATGTGTGCAGCTCCCACTGGAGTCAATGAGAGATGGGCATGATAAGGCAGAATTCACCATATATTCTTATTCAAACCAAATTCTGATATATTTCTCTTGCACCGTGATTTTGAAACATTGAAAGGGGACACTTTTGGTCAAGAAGCAGTGCTGCTTTCAAATAATTGCATTTATCCCAGAAGGACATGCTGCATAAACATAGGGCATGCTTTGGAATATTAATTCAGATTTTTGGTTTTGAAAATGATCCCACCAGTCCTTTCAATACGGGGACTGGAAAAGTTCTTTTGAAGATAACATTTATTATGCACATCAAAATGCTTCAATGCAAACAGGACAGGCAAGATAACACATTTTAAAAGCTTTCTTGTTTTCCTTTTTTTCCTTTCTGGCAAACAGGAACCTTTTATATTACTTTTCATTATTATTTTTTACTTGCTTCTCCTAAGCTTGGAGCTATTTATGGAAATTACAGTATTCATGTATGGTAGCTTCAGTCAAAGATATCAGGATTGGTATGAGAGGAAAATTTCGACTGAAAGCTTGTTATTCACATCATTCTCTTCTCAGCTTGGCAAAGTTGAAGGTTAACGTCATCTGTCCTAGACATTTCAGATTAGTCACAGAACTTTTCTTGGTGGTTCAGTGCCTGGTCATCCAGTCAGAGGAACAGTAATCCATATGGAAAAATTAGCTCAATGCTACTAGACTGGTGGGTAATACTTGAGCCTTAGTTAGGAATGTTCGCAGCATCTTGGGACTCTTTTCTTCCTTGATCAATTTCTTAAAATAGGGTTCTTCATCAGAGGCTGAAAAGAGGAGGACTGTACTGAAGTATATTTTTTTTCCATCACCAAGTCTTTTTTTTTTTTTTTTCTTTTTTAGGAAAAAGAGACATATATTTTAAATGTCCCATGCAAAAAAAAAAATAAAATAAAACAAAAAGTTACACAATTTGGTTAGGAGTTACATTCTGAATTCCTGTATAGCAGTTTGGTTGGTTTGCATCCTGGAATTATAATCTTCAACAGAAGATTTGTTAAGACACACTTAATGTATAAATGCTGATACACACTGCTGGAAATCTGGTAACTAACTGCATTTTTGAGTAAGAAAATGTCTTGACACTTTTCTCTGGATTATTTTCAACTCTGTATTAAATTAGAAAAATTACTTCTTAACAACACATACAGAATATTCCTTCTCATTTGAGACACAGCTTACTCTAAAGGGGTAAAATGTCTTGTCTAAATGAAGCAGGTGAAAAGGGCAGTGAACTGAGATGTAAAATCTTAAAAGTGGTCAGGTAAAGGTCACCCTTTGCCAGTTGGCTTTGACAAACATCAGCTTAAAAGGGCATGTCTGACTTCAGAAGGAAAATTGATAAAGATTTTGTTTTAAACACAGATTTGTAAGAAACAATGGTTTTGAAAAACTATCTATTAAAAATGTAAATGAATGAAGCCACTGCATTCTCCTTTGCAAACACTCTTTAGAAACACCAATAACACTGAAAAATCAAACCCCAAATCTATTTAGATTACATTAAAATGGAAATTTTATTGAAATGCTGAATAAATATATTAAGAAATATGTTCAAATGCATCTACCAAATTAATGTTTCATTCACAATTAAAAGTATATAAACCAGTTCTGATCGGCTGATTGAACTATACCACTTAGAATTTTAGCTCTTTCTAATGTCAATTTTGAATTTATAATGAATCAAAAAAAGGAACACTGGCATTACAGACATCTCATTTTATACCCTCTGTTCAATTCTGTCATTTAGAGGTTTTGGGTTTTTCTTTTCTTCCAGTTTCTCGTGAGTCAAGATTTATCAATTAGATGTTAAAAGAATTCACTTATATTTCTGAGACTTTATTAAAAAGTGGAAAAGACTGAATAAAGGAAAAAAATTACCACAACTCAATTTTAAAAACCTGATTTCAAGTGAATGATTATATTAAATGAGTACCAAAAAAACTGTACAGACATGACAGTCAAGATAATCAAGATATATGGGTCTCACCCTTCCACTAACCTAGGAACTGGCAGACTAAATTAGACCAAATCTAGAAATGAGATTGTGTCACACACCAGTATAAGCATTAGAAAAAAGAAACACCTTACCAAAATTGTAGTGACAACTACTGTTCTATTCTCAATGGCTGAAGTGTCATTTCCAAGTGTGGGTTCATGCTGAATCAAAACTAATTTATCCATGTCATTCCAGTAACCAACCTGCAAAACAAAATTTATATAATTTATAGTAGAGAAGGTTACATTCTGTATAATTACAAATATAAATGATTATAAGAACAGAGTGATCTGAAGATAATTTGGTACCAAGGGAAGTGCTGACATGCTCATAGCCAGGTGCATGGTGGTACGTATCTAATAATTTGGGTATACCACCATGCACCACTGCTGCACAGTCAGATCTGGTATTGCTGCCATCCAGCTATTCCTGAATAATCTGAGCTACTTTGAGTAGAGGCACAAGTTAAATCCCATTTTCAATAATCTGAAGCCTTCCTGGGGCATAAACAAGATATAAGAATTTTTGCTCTCCACAAGAAAATTTTCATTCACTAATCCTCCAGATCTTCTGGTCTTAGATGAAGGAGTGAAAGACATCTGGATGACAGCTTTGCAATTCAACGGCTGATCTCAATTCCCTGCTCTGTTATGGACTTCCCAGGAGACCCCAACCCAGGGACTTACACCAGTCTAGTTCCACTTAACTGCTGGCACTGACCTTTAGTACCTACATTAGAAGCCCCGTTATTACAGATTTCTTTACACTCACAGGCACCACCAAACAGTGACTCAGCTCATGCAGGATGAGCATTCCTCCTAGAAAAGTGCCTGCTTTCCCCACTGACTCTAAAGCATGGTGAGAGTAACTTCACCCTAAAAGTGTCTGGTAAGTGCTTACAGGGAGGTGGAACAAATCAGGTTTTCCTTTCCCTGGCTGCCACAACTATTCCCAGAGCAGCCTTAAGGTGAAACAGCTGCCTTTGTTCATTGCTGGTGATGAACTACTCTAGAGCCAGGTTTAAAGCACTCATTCTTGAATTCCCATGGAGAAAAAAAAAAAAAAAAAAGTGGTATGCCTGCAGTCAGCAGTCTTTCCTCACATACAAACATGGATCTTTGCAGTGCACACCTCTGGTATTCAGCACAGCCTGTAGCTGTGCCCTGTGCATTGATAGTGATACTGCTGGGCACAAGACACAAGTCAACATCCTTTCCTGTGAGTGCCCAGAGAGGCAGTGCTTGCTGTAAGACCAGATGGGATAAAGGAAGCCTGAGAAAACAAGATTCCCCTTCAAACTTCTATTGATGCTTTTGGGAACTGCTTAATGAACACTTAAAACTCCCCACAAACCCCCAGAAAATCCCCATAGGCTATGTCCTATGTCTTTAGATGTCCAAAACAAGATAGGAGACCTAAAATACTTCACCGTTTTTGTAAATCCTGGCCAGTCAGAATCTTGCAGCACACTCATCTCCTCACTCCATGCAGTGACACCATGTTTAGTATCTGTATCAGCAAGTAGTATTTCTGGATTTAGAGTTTCTCCCAATCATTTAATGTTGCCCCGGGTGACTTTAGGTAGGAAAAGTCTTCTTGGGAATGCTGTGCATGATGTTCACAGTACAAGGTGTTTGTCTATGAAATGGCAAATGGTTCATGACAGTGGGCCCTTGTCTCAGTCTTATCTGGAGATGTCTAATTCTACTTTCCCACCAATCCTTTCAGCACACCAGACAGAGATCCCTCAGCTTGTTGTCCTAAAAGTGAAATCTCTACCTGGTGTGCAATAAGCCAATTCCACACACTCAGGAGAGATATTGCTTTTATTGGGGCCCAGCTGCTCAGTGGAATCAATCCACAAATCAAGCACCCCTGGGCACACCTGCTGGTCACATTTATGTTCCAAAACATACATTATTCATTGAAAATATATATTATTGATAGTCTAGCTAATACATATTCAAAACTAATTTACATTATGCTGAATCATGGTTGAGGCTTGATGTGCACATGCTTGGGGGTCTCATACAGTCTCTGGTGGTCATTCCGGGGTCCCGACCACGCCTCAAACTGACCATGTATGGTCAAGAGTCTATTAAGGACACCGTGGATATGGTCCAGCCTATCATGTTCCCGACAATTTGCCCTTATCTTGGGATATCTTTCAGAACTTCATCAATTCCTTTCTTTCTTCTCTTTGTTTCTTACTTCAGTCCTTGATCAGGGGCTTGTGTTTCAATGGACATGATAAACTATACCTACTTTTTAAGTATAGTCAGCCAAGCCTCTGTCACCTGTGTACCAACAGTACATGATTTAAATGTTCAAGCTAAATCCCTGTAACCAAGCTAAATCCCTTTAAGCATATCCCTGCATGGAAACTAAATTTCCAACACAACAAGCTGAAGCTGCTCTCTCATACCTAACCTGTGGCTCACTAGCAAAACCCCTCCCTTTTACCTTTCTTGCCATTCTCTTTTCTGCAACTAGATCATGGTTGTCTGTGGACCCTCTGACAAGGTTGCTGAGGAGCGGCTCAGTGCCTGTTCCTCTGACCCAGCGCTGACAGCACTCATCTGCATGTCCAACGGACAACATGAACACAGACATGTCAGTAGAACAGTGTTCTAATCCCACCTAAAGGGGCTCTCCAGGTTGCTGAGAACATAGTGAATTGAGAGATTGATCTTTTTTTTCGTGGGAAAGGTGCAGACAGCAGTGTTTTCAAAAGGTTCCTATCAAAAAGATGCAATTCAAGCTGTCACAGCTCACTTTTCAGAAGCACCTGGGAATCAGTGAGAAGCAACTCCCCCTTTGCTCCTTCCTTGATTAATTAGGAGTTCATGAGATCAAAAGCTGGGAAAGAGGAATGCCATGTCCATCTTACCAGAAGAGGACAGGGAATTTTAGTAGAAAGCAGGTTCCAGACAGAGCTCCAGTGTAACTGTCAGTGCCAAAGGACAGTCTGTGGCTTGGATGAAAAGACTTTGGTATGATGGAAACAGGCTAAATGATCACACCAGTTATGCAGCCAATATTATTTCTAATATTATTGTAGAACCCAGACTAAAATTCACCATCACATAGGAGTCTGCCTCCATGATGTGGAGAAACATCATGTTTAGATCAATGCAGTGATGTGTCATGAGAGTCTAAAAGTGCAGGGGAGTGCTTTTGGCTCCTGGTCTCATATGCATTAAAGAATCCTGTATATTCTTAAAAGAGCCAAACTTACTCTTGACTTTTACATTTACTATTTCATTAATTTACTTTTTGAAAAAGAACTATGGAGAGGCAAGTCATTTTAGCAGTCCCTAGAGCAGTGTGGAGACACACTCACCACAGAGATATACATGAAGTAATTCAGTATGAGTGAGTATGACTGGATATGAGTGAGTTTTTAGTTTCTTAGTGAACCAAACAAGCATGAATGCTTCCCATGCACAACTTCTGGTATATTTAATTGAAATGTTCCTTTTCTCTTTGCAATTGCTATTACAGCACAGGAGCCTTGATTTAGGTGTCTGCAGCTAACAGTAAGCTTCAGCATTGCTCATAGAGTGGAGAGGGAGCTTTTCTTCCTAGTAGGATGCACTGCTAACAAATATTATTTTTCATCCAGACAACCACAGTCACAGATACAATTGATAACTGATAATGTCAAGTTCTTGTCAAAAACTGTGACCAGCTAAAGGCAGAACATGTACACCAAAACCTGGCAATTTGGGAAGCTCATTATAATATTGAATGATTGTTTTTCATTGTGCAGTTCTTCACTGCTGAGAAGTTCAGAAGCAAAGCAGAAAACTAATGATGTACTGTGTTATAAAATCAAGTATCATATGAAAATGCAGACAGCGATAATGGAGGGTTTTGAGGAATGGCAGCCATTTTTTAAAGGAATTTTAGTTTGTGGGCGTGGGTGTGAGCTTGCATGTGTGCATCTCAAACCCATTGTAAATTAACTCTGGAACTGGATTACTGAATAAATACATAAGATATATCATGACACTTGTGTAAGTATATAGATTCACAGTCACTATGAGAGCACTAAATAACAATATGCTTTCCTATAAACACCGAAAATCCCCAAGGAAAAAAACTCCTCAAAGTATAGGATTGAATTCAGCTATTAAAGTAATCCAGTTCTATTTGGATTGCAACTTGACTTTATAGCAGTTGCATCCACTTATACAGAGGCTGAATTTGTCTTTTAGGAAACAATAGTGCAAAAATATCTGCCTCAAAGTAAATTTGTCACAACAGTTTGGCATTTGAATGAACAACGTAATTTCTGAAGGCCTATGTGTCTTGTAGCCACCACTGAAGCACTCC